GCCAAAAAGTTGACAGAGAATCCTTTGTTTCACAAACGAACTAAACATATAGATGTTCGCTACCACTTCATACGTGAAGCAGTCTCTAATAGCCTTATTAAAATTGAATATCTTTCAACATCTGAGATGCCTGCTGATATATTAACGAAAAGTTTGAGTGCTGCCAAACATAACTATCTTATAAAATTATTAGGAATTCAAAATGTTTAAAATTGTCAAAGTTGTTTTATTACTGCTTAGTATTTGATTATTTTGATAAGTGGTGCTGTTAAGATATGTTTACTTGTATCAAAATAGTCTACTTGATATCAGTCTGTGCTACTTGTAGTCTGTGCTAGTATGTAGTCTGTACATTGTATAACTAATAAAGTTTTTTTTGTTCTCAACCTGCAACTCATTCGTTTTTATTATTCAGAATCCCTATTAAATGCGCCAAAACTAGTAATATAGGGTCTTTTTTAGGTAGAGTAATTTTTTTTCACAGTGGGGTCCGAAGTAAACAAAAACTTTTGATTTGAAATAAATTTATATCGTATAACTTAATATTATCTTCAATACACTCAATAAACAACTAACTATAAATAGTATGTCTAACGCAAGAACTCATCAGTAACAATCAAGTGGATATTATGAAAAAGATGGGTTGAGCTATACTCTGCAGGGGTTGAGCTTAGAGACCTACCGTACAACAATTTTTTGCAGCTGATGATCTCATCTATCCCCTATTTGCGTTTGATCCACGATTTTTTGACCACCCTGTATACATAAGTTTTACTTTAGATTTAAAGATGGCGACTTCACATTGTAAGGAATTAAATGTTTTGATTCCTAGTTACATATCCTTAGTGTAATTCCCCGACTATTTTGTGGGCTATGTATTAACTAACGTTTATGTATTAGGTATATATTTCATTAGCAAATAAAAACTAAGTATAATTTATTTTTGTTCGAAACCTTTATAGATAGATAATTTCCCTTAAATTTTTATTCAACATTATTACCTTTACCACGCTCTCAGAAGAATCTTATCGGAGATGTATCGAAGCATTATCAATGCAGTTAAAAGCTGGAATTTTCTTCAAAGCGGCCCGCAGCGTGCAATTCGGCTTTAAAGTAATGGATTTTTCAAGACGTTCAGCGGTGGTTACAGTATTTTGTTTTAAATTGCACTCTGTCGGTGATCGCTACCTACTGAGAGTAAACCTGAGGAGACGCAATCTTCTAAAATGCTTGCAAGCTTTAAATCTTTTTAAAATACGCCACATTTCGATTCGCCTCTTGATAATTTGTTTCTAGAAAACAAAGATAGTTTTAATCAATTTCTATTCATAAACATTTTGATCGATCTACTTTGATATTTTTGTTGAAGTTACGATTGAACGTATCCATCAAATAAAACACTCATTTTACTTAAGGAAAATAATAAATATGGTTAACAGCCTAAATGGGCAAACCTGGTATTGGATCAATCTCAATGGATTTAATTTCTATATATGTAATTAATGTAAATGAAATAATACCAAGCTTGTTCTGTACAAAACTATGCTGCGACCAGTTCTCCTTATTTTCAAGCGGAAAATTCTTCGAAATATAGTTGGCACTGTTTGCGTAGACGGTGTTAGGCGTCGCTACAATGAAGAACTTTATAACATTCCACAGGCTCAAGTGGTTGGGACATGTGCACCGAATGGCAGACAATAGAACCCCAAGGTCCTTATTGAACTCACAACCTGGTGGCAAGTGAAAACCCGGTAGAACGAGGCTGCGTTAGTGGGATGCAGTTGTATATAACCTCGAAATAGGTGTTCGAACTTGTGTGCAAGAAGCACGGAATATATTGGCCCGTATTGGTAAGGCCCACAACGGGCTGTAAAAACTAAGTGTGATGATGATGATATGTAACTAATACTTGCTTTTACGGTGAAGGAGAAACATCGCGAGCCAACTGGCATGTCTTATAGTGAGAGTCGAGTAAGCGTGACAAATAGTACGTATTTGATAAAAGAAACGATGTTTGTCAGGCACACAAGGCGGATCACCCAGGGCCGGGGATGGCAACCACAAAGGAGGGGCCCCCTTGTCAGAAAATGATATAGATCTTTTTATATATATATATGTATATCAATCTTTTGATAGATTTTTACTTTTGTTAAATACAAAAAGAATCTATTTATTTTCACAATAAATTATTGATTGAAAAACTCGACTAAAATTTTTTTTTTCATTTTATTTGGAATATAATTTTGGGGCCTCCACTCACTCCTTTCTTGCCCCGAGGCCTCTAGACCTCTAAATTTGGGCCTGTGATCGCCAATAAAACAGATAAATATATCTGATGCCCAGGAGTTTTTAAGGCTATAAATATAACTTTTGTATATAGAGCGAAGAAGAAGGTTGATAAAAAGAAAATGTGGAAGTTTTTATATCGTTTATTAAAATAAGTGATGTAATTTCATATAGAACACATTTAAAGAACATTTGCTTTATACAAATTAAAAATATATTCAGATCGACATAAACACTCTGTAATGTGAAGCGAATTTCAATGTTTTGAACACATTACAAAATTCATTCACTCGCACCACATATTAACAACGAATATTCGAATTTACAAAAGTAAAGAAAATTACTATCTATTTAAAACATTTTCATATATATAATAGATTTTAAACACGTACAAAAATAAGAACTATCGGATACAAACGCAACCCACAAGTGAATGGGAAAATTATTATCTCACCTTTGAATCCGAAGAAACAGTTAAAAAAATTACAGATAAATATTAGGCATCTCAAGTGTACTAACAATCATATAAGAACTAGGGCGCGTCTAACAGAACGTTAACACAATGTATAAAAACTATATTTCTCTAAAACTAATATGTACACGCGCCGTAAGTTCCAAGCTGGTCCTACACTAAAAGGAATCTTAATTTCATTTACAAATCGTAAATCTAAATCTATAAGCTTCTGGCGAAAGTAATGTTATGTACACCGAAATTTAATTCCATTCTCTATCTATCAAGTAAATATTAACACAACTTTTGATATAATTCGGGCATATTAAAATATTGTTCTTCCATCATTTAGGCTGGTTCCTGATTTGTGGGTACCTAAATATTATGGAATTAGCACCAAGAAGATGCCAATTCCATAATTTAAAATTATTTTTTAAACAGTAAATTATAATAAGTAAATATAATATTCTTTTCTTTTGGAGTTTTATTGCCATTTTGTTTTGAATAGTTTGTTGAGTCCGATATACCCCATAAAGAATACATCTTGGACAATAAGGGTAAGATTCAGAAATGAGACTTAGTTTTAAGTATGACTCCTGCATGTCAAAATTCATCACTTACGTTCATATTTGTAAGAGACGCTCGTAGTCAAACTTTGGCTTGGTCTACGCAAAGTTTCTAAAAACAAATTTGCACACTGCCATTATATTAATTATAAAAAAAAACAACCTTTGAACTTGCTAAATATTTCCTCGTTACAGTTCTGAACTCTAAAATTTAAGGTTTTTGCAGTTTTAGATGTTTAAATATGTAATGAATATTTATTTACAGTTATATCTGGCTTTCACTTCAAAAGCAATAGAAAGGAAGTGCAATCGCTTTCGACTTAAATTGATCTTACAATAACGAATCCGAATTTTACCCCGAGACTTTGGTATGAGTATTCCATATGATTGACAATTAATTATTTAACGATTCAACCAACAAATCAGGAAACTAACAAAATAACATACCACGATTTTCTTTATGTACATAGTTATATTATATAGATATAAAATTGATTGACTACAACAATATAGTCACAACGACGTATCTGTCCGTATTCTAAAACGCGACTTAACCTTTAGTGAAAGGAGCAGAGGTCGACATTTAAAAATGCATTTGTATTAAATATTTTTTTAATGACGGTTTGAACAGTGGTGGCCTAGTGGGTTCGGCGTGTCACTCTCGTCCCTGAGGTCGTAGGTTCGAATACCGGCTGTGCACCAATGGACTTTATCCGCATTAAACATGCGCTCGAACGGTGAAGGAAAACATTGTGAGAAAACCGGCTTGCCTTAGACCCAAAAGTCGACGGCATGTAAAAGGAGGCTGATCACCTACTTGCCGAATAGATTGAGAAATGATCATGAAACAGATACAGCAATCTGAGGCCCAAACTTGAAAAGGTTGTAGCGCCACTAATTATTAAATAACGATTTAGAATACAGTTGTTAAGAAAATTTGTTCAAGATTATGGCACAGATACAGAAAACAACTAGAAATGTACAATTAAAATCAGGTACTAACATGTAACATGGAATGAGTAGCAGAAGGACACTATATTGTTTATCTTATTGATGGCAAAAAGTTTTTGCGCTAAAATATAATACATAGATTAAGCGTATATTGAAAGCAACACATTTTTACCTGCAAGTATCAACAGTACTCGATACAGTTGCAGGCACAGTTCATAAATTCCAATTTCAAAAACCTAAATATGTGATGTCAAGTACCTTATAGAACTTTAAACGGAAATACATCTTTTTCGAAAAACGTAGCACCCAGCGCGCATTGGCAAGTAAAACCATCATAACGAAACATTTATTTATACAAGATTCACAATTTATAATGTACTTAGAGTCGTTCATTAAGTTATTTAAGCATTTGAATAAGATTTAGGTATTAGAAGTATGTCTCTGGCTTGAATTAATCTTAACTCATCGACACGCTTCAATGTAGCGCCGTTCTGTGTTAGTGACAAATGTTGTCATTTATTAATGAACGAGTCTGAGTATGGTTGAAGGTCCGTTATCATACTTAAGGTTTAAGCCCTGTGAGAACCATTTCTTTTGAAAAAACCCTGAGAATCGGAACTTAGAGCTACTTAACAAATGTTTGCTTCAAAGACATTTTCTCGAAGCAAATATTGTTACGTCACAAGACAGACTTTGATCAGTCGTATTATTTCCTTTCGTTCCAACCCTTTAGGTTTTATACTATGCTATCCATTAGATAGTTCATCCTTCAGCCACTGAGGGACCGGCCGGCCTAATCTCACAAGAAGCTTCGACAAAGCTGTGTTGTGAGGAGTGTAATATCGCTTTAAAAATTTCGCTGATCTGTCCTCCATCGGTGGGTATACACGACCTTTGGACTTACCCAGACATTTCGTTTTTTCGTTGACAGCTTGACAGAAGAAACCTTTCTTTGCGTCATACCTGAAATTTTCATTTTCATTAACCACATAATAGATACAATGAAGTGAATTGCTAAAACCTTTTTTCTTAGAAAATAGTTGAGTTATTTCATCCATGTTTTTACTAGCAAAATTAACAAAAGTACAGAATGGTTTATTTTGACGAACATTTGTTTTTGAACAGTTTATGCTGTTACCCGTAAATGTGTTTGAATGTGAATGGCGCCGAATGCATACATACAACACATACATATGCTTAAGATAAAAGTATATAAACCCTTTAGCAAGAATATGGAATGGTAAACAAATGTATTGACCTAGTGGCTTTAGCATGCGACTCTCATCCCTGAGGTCGTAGGTTCGATCCCCGACTGTGCATCAATGGACTCTCTTTCTATGTGCGTATTTACATTAGCTCGAACGATGAAGGAAAACATCTTGAGGAAGCCGGCTTGCTTTAGGGCCAAAAATCGACGGCGTGTGTCAGGCACAGAAGGCTGATCACCTTCCTACCTATTAGATTGACAAATGATCATGAAAGAGATACAGAAATCTGAGGCCTGATTTTATTTTTAATAAATGTATTTGTAGTAAAAAGTACGAAAAATTGAGCGGCACTTCGCGTATAAATTTGGAAATAAACAAAAGAACAAATATATATCTGAATAAAACATCTTTAACACGAATTAATAATAATTCATAGGAAACACTATTAAAAACTCTTGTAATACAGAAGGGAATTGCGAGTTAAACAATAATTCAAACGGACAACTTAAGCGTTCCGATTAAATTTCGCATTTGAATTATTCCCGGAACGACGTTTAATTTGTAAAATAATTTTCGTAATATTTTGGTTAAGCCAGCGTGATGGTAAATCCATACTGAAACTTCGGCGTTCAAATGAGAAATTCTATTTGTAACAAAACCATGGAACGACACGTCGCAAATTTAATTTAAATTCCTCAATAGATTATTAAGTTCAGTAATTTGTATCATATTAGTAAATTTGTTGATAATAATTGTGACAAATTGGAACATTTCAAACGTGAATAAACGCAATTTCAATTAATCAGTGGCGACATCTTTCGAATAACTCAAACCTGTATTTAGAACCATACATCAGCAATTTAGATAATTTAATTTTGTTTGTTAATTTCTGAATATTATTAGGATTTTTTTGCTTTTTTATATTAAGTATAAATAATAAATAACTTTTTAAACCAACGTTTAAAACTACAACTTAATTAAATAAATATATAAAACTATATGGTAGACTGAGACAGAAAATCGTCGGCGTGTGTCAAGGACGAAACGGCTGATCACCTATGTGCTTATTTAAAAAAATATCGCGAAACGGAACCAGAAATCTAAGACCAACGGTGGGAGCGCCACTATATATAAAAATAGTAGTCCGTAATTAATTTTTTATAAAATAATTTTACCTAAATTCTCAGTGTCTTCTATCATTGCATTTGAATTTCTCTTTCATTACAGTATATAATTATATTACATATTTACTTTGTTATGTAGGTAAGAGTTTAATCAGCAATTCACATACATATTTCTTCAATTATATTGTATTTAAACTTAAATTTTTGCGTATTAAGTCATAATTTTAATTTACGTGACTGTTGCCCTAGTGCTTACAGCGTGTGACTCTAATACCTGAGGCCGTAGGTTCGATCCCCAGCAATGAACTTTCTATCTATGTGCGCATCTAAAACTCACTCGTACGTTGAAGGAAAACATCGTAAGGAAACCGATGACACAAAAAAATGTATGCATGTATTTAGGGTTGTAGCGCCACTGGATGACTAATATTATGAGTATAAATAACCATTATAACGGAATCAAATCATTTGAAACAAATATTACAATATTTCGTTAATAACGTTTCAATACAGCTATATAATCGGTATAAAGACTCCCTGTTAAGTACACGTAAATGGGTGTATGAACAGAAATTGAATAACAAATAGCGTCTCAAATGAAATAACGTAAGCGCCTTACGGACGTGTATCGGCTTAGGCGATGTAAGCTCCCAACGTATGGCTGGATAACGAACACAATATTTCGTGAAAAAATAGCATTATGTTCGACTTAATGGCTTCAATTTCCTTTATATTTGTAATGACAGAATACATTCCGATTAAATATATAAGTGGTGGTGTATGTTAATAATACAGAACAGCTATTTTTTTATAGAATAGGGGCAAACGGGCTGAAGGCTCAACTGATGTTAATTGATACATGGACAGAAGGCTCGCAAGTGCTTTCGAGAACGCTTGTACGCTATTTTCTATAAGGGCCCTAAGTCGAATTGGTTCGGAAATACTTCAGTGGGCAGTTGGTTCCACAAAGTGGCGCGGCAAGATCTGCCTTAAAAAACGGTGATTTCGTATTATGCCTCGACGTCCGATGATGAAACTCGGCTTTAGATAAATTTCGATATAAAAGCCATTTATTCGTTAGAAGTGTTACTGAATTCTTTATAGTCAATTCGAACTGAGCTGTTTAATTGTTAGTGTTTATTTCTAAGCTAATAAATAAGAATTTAGTTTAACATTAATAACGAATGACTATGTAAGCAAATAAAACTTCCGCTCGGCGTAGTAATCACGCGGAGACGCTAATCGCCTACTTGCTATAAATATAACAGTGAAACACGCGAAAATGTGTTTGTTTCACGACTTAGAGCGAGGTATCTTCATATTTATTCTTATATATGCTTAAATAAGCTTTATTTCTGTTACAACTTAAGAATAAATTTGATCTGAATCTGTTTCATGATCATTTGTCAATCTAATAGGCAAATAAGTGATCAGCCTGTGCATCCTGTGCCTGACACACGCCGTCGACTGTTTGGGTCTAAGACAAGCCGGTTTCCTCACGATGTTCTCCTACACCGTTTGAGCGAATGCTAAATGCGCACATAGAAAGAAAAACCATTGGTGCAAGGCCGAACCTACAACCTCAGGGATGATAGTACCACGCTCAAGCCACAAGGCTAACACTGCTCATAACACATTTACTTATAATTAATCCCGACTATTAACAGTTACACAACACAACAAAAGAATACAAGATAAACACACAAACAACAAAGAAAACACAATGAAAATATTCTTAAAAATCATATTCAAATAAAAACATTTTCTAAGGCTATTTATTTTTATGTAACAGGAGGCAAACCGGAAGTAGGCTCACCGTAGGTTAAGTGATACCGCTGCCAATGGACCAGGTGGTTGCCGGCCTTATAAGTAGTGGTACGCTCTATTCATACATGAAAAGTTCGAAGCGCTAGAGCAAATATTCGAAATCGTTGTAATAAATATAATGATAAATTTTCCTAGAATCCATCAATGTTGATATGACTTGCCATTTCTCGTATCACGTAACGACGCAAATGTATATTTTGCGATTTATCAAAGCATTTATCACAAAGTATGGCTTGTCACTGAAACGAATTCCTGATAGGGGTTCTAAAAGATACATACTTGTATGTATGTATGTTGTTGAGATATTAGTACAAAAAAATTGAAATAATATTTTTTATTGTCGACAAATTAAAAAATTATAAGACTGCCATACAGACAGGGTAAGAAATTTTGGTTTTGACTGACCCACTGGTTCGCTATCACTATTTGGTGGTATACTTTATTTCTGGCAACGCACTTGCCAGCCCTCTGGCAATGTGAGTCTCTATGGGCGGTATCACTTTACATCAGGTGAGCCTCCTGCCCGTTTGCCCTTAGTTATATATAAATAAAATACCATATATAATGTATGAGTAACCATGATGGGGTTGCTCAGTATTTAAACAAGTCGAGTCCGAGTAACCACCCATTCTTTAAAAAACATTAATATTAACACTTACTTAAGCAACTTGTGGTAATCAATATGAGGTATTTTAAGGAATTTCTGCAAGGTGTTCATAATTATAGCTGGTTCAGAGCGAAGCAGTGATCCATCAATTATATGGAACTGATGTGAATTGTACTCCGACAACCATCGTTCCAAGTAGTGGCTGTATTTGCCCGGATTGAGGCAACGGTTTCTGGAAAGACAATGTATAATTAGCTGCCATATGGTCTTATAGGAAAAAAATGTAGGAAATTTCTCTAAGAAAAGCCTTACCACGAAAAATACGCAAAACCACCACCACCACCACTTAAAAAAATAATGTGTGCAATTCACACGTAGTAGAATATAATTTTAATTCTTAAGTTTAATATTAATCATTAATTTTGATAAAAACTACAATGATTAAAAAACTTTTTCCAGTTAATAATATGTAAATAAGACTTTTTTCACGATCTAAATGTGGCATTAGACTTTTCTTTAAATTATTTTTTATTTCTATTTTTAAGTTTAATATCAATTGTTAATTTGGATAATGACTAAAATAATTAAAATTTGAAAGTCGACGAAACGAAAAAGCGACGGTAAAAAGACAGACACATAAATTCATAAGATTTAACGTGGGAGAAAATGAGATAAAGAGCATTATACAGTATATACATACATACATAAGTTTTCACTTCAAAAATGTTAGATTTTTTGTATGTATAAAGAGCGCTTCGTGAATTTAATATCAAATTCGAAATAATAGAATAATAATAGAAAACGTCAAGAAATGACGTTTCCTATTGACGTAAACATTATGGCCTAGAGTCAAACACACTTCCCAACTCTGCATTTAGAGGAAGACGTGTAATCCGTGGATGCTGTTAAATAACATAGCAATAAATAAGATAAATCAAGAGATAATGGGGAGAGACCGTAAAAGGTGCAATTGAGAATCGATATTCGACAAAATAATAATTAAATCCTATTGAAGCTTCAAATGATCACTGGAAACAAAAATGTATCTGCTCCATGAATTATGCGACTGCAAACAAAACAACAGTAAGAACACGAAATTCAATTGTTTCCTTGTTATAACAAGAGGAGTCCTATAATGATTCAGAATTTTTGGGATAACAAGATTTCGTTGACTTTTTCACTTGTTTTGCGAAATGTAGGACAAGTTGAGTCTTTAGGCTGATAAAATCAATATTACTATTTCAAATATTTTGTCTGACTACCCAGGCTTTAACTTTTCTGAAGTACTTGGCAGCATCTATAAGATTGTTTTGGTTTAGATGGTAATTCTACCAAATAATCATAAAAGTTAACGCGACAGTTAAAAAACATATGAAGAGTGGCAATAATATATTCTAATTCGTCAAAATTACCGTCGTAATGTGTTGTTCCCGTAATTATGTTTAAGCGGTGAAACAATCGTAAAACGCTTTTGCTCTTCAGTCTAAATAGATAAATTACTGTAATGTACTTTTAGTAATTTATTAACTATCTACACTAAATACATAACATATATGTATGGAATAGGAAAAAAAGTTTCATTTAATATATATATATTTCATATATGTATTTGTATATGTAATGTACTTAGTATACTAGTAATAATAGCATTACCTTCTTTTATTTTTCCTGAAAAATATAGATTTTGCTTTTACGTCTTTGTTCCCCGGAGGAAGCGACATTGTTTATAATTTTACATTTATGTAAGATGCCTTTCTCAAACGAATTATTATAAAGATGATTTCAGACAAAATTGTTTCGGGTAGATTACATAAAGTTTTTCTAGCCTAGTTCTTAGACAGAATCCATTACGACTATTTCAAATGATATATTTAAAAGGCTTACCTTAGGTCTCTTAGCTGTTTCGGCGCGGAGTCATTCGCTGAGATGATGGCGTGGAAGGTGTTATTGTTTGCCACAGGATCGCCGTGCGACCGAATATGCTGGTACCACGAGTAGGCCCTGGATATTTTATTATGTATTGATGTCTTGTTTAGCTAGCTAATTTCCATACACAATAAATATTAACTAAACAGGGAATACATATTTAAGCACAAATAACACTTAGTTATTAATAAATAAATATCATAAAAATATATTTTTAAAATAATCAAAAATGTCTATATTTTAGATATTTTTAGTATTTCAATAGAGGTACCGTTTTTGTGTTATAGTTGTATATGAAATTAATATTCCCTGTTTCAAACAAAATTGAGATAGCTCGGTACAAAAATGCCAAAATCGAAGAAGTCCGAATAGCTGTACAAAATGCCGGTACAATTCGTGTATTAACTAATTTTTCGAACTTTCCTACTAAGCTTAAGAAAAATATTAAAAACGGATGAACCAGAGGATCATTAAACACAATTAGTATACACAACAATAATGAAAACAACACATTGAACACAGAATTTCAATGTTTAATATTGAGCATGTTTTAAAACTATTTTCATTTTTGTTTTACGCTCTGTTGGAAATAACAAACGGACTCGATTGAAATATTTACATGAAGGCTTTGTGCGTTTGTTCTCGATAATTACTTTTCCATTGAAATAAGTAGACTGTACATTGATTGTGAGGCCTTCTTCGATATAACAGAAGATTAATGAAACTATAAAACTCAGATACTGTTACACTTTAACACATTTATAAAGGGTGTCTCAGTAAGAGTGCACTTTTTTCATTTTTAAATAAAGATAAGTATTTTATGACAGAGTTGTGATATTTTTATTGTATTGTAAAGAAGACATGTTCCGATTAAGTATGGAATAAAATATCCGGCAAATGACCTCCGCGGCTCCGATGACAGGACATTACACTTTTCATGAAATTTTCCATGACTTTTGTACAGAGATGTGGCTGTATCTCACCGATGACGCGTTGGATTTCCGATTTGAGCTCAGGAATGGTTTCGGGTTTATCCGCATAAACTCGAGATTTCACAAAGCCCAAAGAAAAAATCGCACGGCGTTAAATCGCACGATTTTGGTGGCCAGTTGACATCAGAATTTCGTAAGATGATGTTGTTCTGTTCATCGGAGAAAATGACTTTTTTCGAAAAATTGGCATCGACTTCACTTTGCTCCATTACTCATTGAACAATTTGCCGGTGCTTTCCTTGGTTGCTGGTTTGAGCTCCTGAGTTAACTGAATCTTGTACGCATGAAGTTGGAGGTCTTTAGTCAACATTTTCTGCGTCGAATTGATGTTTTCGGGTATTCGGCGACACTCTCGTTTACAGCAGCAATGTTTTCAAGAGACCGACCGGTACGTTGACGCAAAGGATTCTTACCATCCATAATTGACCCAGTTTCTTCAAATTTTTTGACCACTCTTCGAATGGTTGACACATTAAGTGCACTTTCTCGGCTGAAAATTTGGTGAAGTTTGCGAGCGGTTTCCGCGTAAATTTCCCCATTTTTGTAATGAGTTTTCACAATTATAACGAGTTGTCCTTTAAAAAAGCGCTCCATATTTAATAATCGGAATAAACAGAGGTGCCAGCTGTCAAATTTCAGAGTTGCCACTTACATGAAAACAAAAATATTACAATTTTAAAAAAGTGCACTCTTACTGAGACACCCTATATCTCTGGTATCTGTGTGCCCTCTTTGGCAAAGGACTCCTCCTGAACTGTGTCTCTGCTATGTACCACCTACTGTTTCTATAATTTCTTCTCTAGGTCTATTCACCTAATTGTCTTCTATATATTAAATTTATATTAATTATTCGTTGTTTTAATGAATTTCTAAATGGGTTCGAATACTGCCTTCTTTTGCCACAAAAGGCGTATCGTAACATTAAATGTTTCTAGCGTCACTTATATGTAGAAAATTTCTTCCTGCTAGTAAGAATTTAATGATAAAATCATTAGTAATTTCGGCATAATTTTAATTTTATTATACGAACTGAAATTTTCTGTATTTTATATTCAAACTCAAAATATCTTTATTCATATAGATAAACAAGTAACCAATTCGCAAGTCAAGGGCGTAGAGCGGGCAAGAAACTTTCCGCCACTCTTTAATCGCTAAGTTTTGAGTCATACAAATTGTTTGAACTGGAGCAAATCAATCCCAAGGATTAGGATCATTTAAGTATTCGTAAAATTTATAAAAAGCTTTATTGATTAATTTACGTTTAACGAGGGCTTTGAATTTATTAAGTGATAATTCTCTAATTTTCTTCTTATATTTTTGCTCGCAAACATCACGCATTTTAAAATCAGGACAATCAGATACTTATGATAATATGTTATAGAAAGGATATACAAGTGTGAAAATGACTCTCAATCAAGTAGCCCGCAATACCGCAGCACATAACTCACGAGGGGACTCTTTGTATCGAAGAAGTCACATGTTAGCCATGCATCCGCGAATATACAATGTAAATACATAATATTAAATTGTCTCTATCTGTCAGATAATGTTTACTGTGGTAGAATGAGACAGCATTCCGTTAGTTATGTTATAAGATAAACTTTAATACACTGAAATATAGTGTAATGGTAACAATATTAATAAAATTAAACTTATAAACATAAACTAATAATAATAAAATAATAATAATAATAATACATAATTATGTAGGAATAAAGAAAATAATAACACAGCAAGGTGCTAAAACAACTCGGCGAAAGATCTCTATGGAGTTGCTGAAAATGTTCACCGAGTCATTTTTCATCTGTTAATGGAATACCTTAAAAAATGTAAGTTAAATTATATGGAATAGGAACATACAAAAAAAAAAAAAACATACATACACATATAATGTGTCTGAAAAGTCATTTAAATCAACCCTGAATACATCAAAGGGGCTGAAACTTATGTTTTATGACATCTATGAAGTATAATTGTTTTAATGACGCACGCGATCCAAATACCATCATAATTTATTTTATATTTTGTACAATAGCACTTCGCTTATTATTTGTCATACAATCTGTAGACATTCTCGCATTTAGAGCGGCGCAATTACAGCCCGTTCCCATTAGTCGTAAGTCGCATAAGACTAAAAGTCGAAAGTCTGATGTCCCTGTTCACACTGCGTCGCGAGTCGTATAGATCGTAGTTTCGCGCCATTCGGTACGTAGCGAATTCGCGACATGGACGCCGACGAAGAACTTGTTGTGCTCTACTACTTACGAAGAAAATTAAAAAAGTTGAAAAAAATTTCAATTCCAAGAAAATACTGGATGCACCCAATCCTAACAGAAAGATCGACTTTGGGAAGTCAAACAAAAAAACACGAATGGAGTGAGCAAGCAATGTGTAGGAATGTGTGTCTAGGAAGCGGGGCGGGGAGGGAGGTAACAACGCGCTCGAGTCGTAAAGACGCACGACTAGTGTGAACAGCAACAAGCAGGCACCTATGCGAGCATGATTCGACGCGACTTTTAGTCTTAAGACGGGCGCTGGCCCGTCGGACGGTTTGAGTCGTATTCGACTAAAAGTCGCGTCTCATCTAATGTGAACAGCTCCATACAAAGTGTATGGTGACCAGAGCATTCGACTTTTAGTCTTATGCGACTTTCGACTAGTGGGAGCGGCGCAATTAGGTTGTATAGCGGTAATCAAGGTAGGAATGTTCGAGAAAAAGTTGACAGATGGCCGTAAGACATATTACTCGGAGACATTACTCGGACAGCTTTAATTGCCCGTTTAGGGATGAAACGATGTAATAAACGGGTTGGAAACTACATCTTCCAAAAGATTTTCGCCTTTATTGAGATTATACTTAATGGTTATAATTGTCTGTATACCGAATCGTGTTTCCAATAACAAATATTTTAATAGAATTATTTCCAAGTAATATTGCTTTTCATATAATTTTCAATTCTATTTATCCAAGTCCTAGAGAATGTCGAAGTTCATTATCAAAAACAAAATTACATCGTGTACCATAAATAACAGATTTAAAAATTTTATAACGCAACAAAAACTTAAAATAATAATAAAACAGTACAGCACCAACACAAAATTATGCTTTCAATATTGAATACAAATACTTTTTAATATAGAATTTTAGTATGTCTTAAAGTATTTGAAAATCTTGATTAACACCACAGTATATTTATACTATGAAATAATAAAATACAAATATATACGAACATTAGGTATGTAGGTATTTTATAAGCTTACCTTTTAGAAGGCGAGATTAGTATAGCAATAATCTTCGCGTTTGGTAGCAGCGCGTGCGCACGTCGCGGTACAAGATCACCGTCGAAATACGTCGCCGACTTTTCAAAGGTTATTTGGGATGCGTTGCTCTGGTTCGGCGGAAAGAAGTTTAGATACCTGATGAAAAAAAAAGTATAAGGAGCGTTGATGACATGACATATAAATAAAATGAAAATAGTATGGTTATATTATTTTAATTATTTAATATAAAAGGCCGGCAACGCACTCACGAGCCCTCTGGTATTGAGTGTTCATGAGCGGCGGTATCACTTAAATAGGATAGCCCGTTTGCCCCCCCCGCTCTATAAACATAATGCCTATAGCTTATAATAAGTTTTAATCAATTAGACTGACAAATATAGTTTAATTATTATGAACTAATTCTTAAATATGTATTTTGAATAGAGAAAGATCTTCCACTTCCACATGAAAAATAACAACTCTTATACTTTTCCCACATTTCCATTTTTAATATTAAAAACCCAATTCCGAGAAATATTCAGATTATACATGAACATTTGCAAAGTAGCCTGGCGTGCAGAGGCGACGCAAAGTCGGCACTTAAAATAATGAACATTTCCTTATTACAAAGGATGATAATTAAACAACAACACGATTTTGACCATGCGAGAAATCCTGAAGTGTAAACAACGCGTCCTTAAAGACCGGCAACACACTTGCAACTACGATAAAACTTGCCTCTTGAAAAGTTATACATTTAAACCGGTCAAGAGCTTATACAAGATAACTAATTGTTTTACTACCAGACTTAATACTCGATAGAACCTTGAGCTTTCTGCTATCGTGCAACGGTGGATCGATAGCTATAATTTAAACTTGATGAACAAATTGCGTTGACCTGTTTTGTTTTATGTAGGTTGTAGCTGTGATAGCATTAATGATACAAATCCTTTGTTTGATAAATGAAGGCTTTCTTTGTAGGCTAAACTGTCAGTCGAAATAATAAATAATCTCTATATATAAAATGTTCGTGTCACAATGTTCGTTCCCATACTCCTCCGAAACGGTTCGACCGATTTTTATGAATTTTTTAATGCATATATATACAATAAGTCTGAGAATCGGCTACTATCTATCTTTCAAACCGCTTGTGATAAGGGGTGTTTTTATGATACAGCATACAAAAATACATACAATCCTTAATTTTAAGGATTGTATAATAATAATAATAATAATAATAATAATCTTTATTGACATATTTGTAATTACAGAAATCCTATGAAGACTCTGACACCTAAACTAGGCTTTAGTGCCTGTATCTCAGGAGTCAGTGGCTTCTCCCAATATAATTCGTAACAAGTGTCAAGAGAGCTTATTCAAAATTTTACAAGACAATACTTTTTATAGACATTTGTAAATTCCAGACATTACATCTAATTATCTTCTTACACATAATATACTTAAACAAAAATAACATATATTGAAAAAAATGTTTCAGTATAAATTACAATGAATATAATAGGTAATAAAATAGGTACATACACATAAAATACTAAAATACATAAATATACATAATACATAAATATACATAATTATACATTTTACATATGGGTATATGTAACACTAGTATAAATATATAAATTATACACATAATTAATGAATCAAAATAACTAAAACATTATTGTAGCATGTTAGTTAAATAGATCTTCTGTTTCCTCATAATTTAAGGACAAAAGCCAAGTCTTAACAATTGATTTGCAGTCATGTAGTGAAAGAGGGTAGAAATTTAATTTTTTGTTTATTTTATTATATAGAAAGACTGAGAGATATGCTCGTTGTCGCCTTGCGAAGGTAGTACGGAATTTTGCTGTGGGGAGTACATTTGGTATACAGCGTTTGTTACTGCAAACCTCTGGGTTATAAGGGGTATGGACATGTTGTTTGGCTATTATATTAAAGACGAATAACTGTCTAACACTGAGGAGCTCACACTGTTTATATAAAAGTGTGGTTGAAAATCTGAAGGGTTTGAAAGTCATTACTTTTAGTAAAGATCTGTGGGCTCTTTCAAGCTGAATTAGATGTGACTTGCACGCTCCACCCCACACGCTCACGCAGTATCCAATAACCGATTTTACTAAGGCAAAGTAAACAGTGCGGAGTAGTTCAAATTCCGCGGCATAACGTAATTTTTGAATGTCCAGATTAGTTTTCGCGTGCGTGCCGTTATAATCTCAATGTGAGGTAGCCAACTCAATTTATTATCTAATTCGATACCGAGGTATTTAATGGTATTGGATTTTGTTATATTAATGCAAGTACAATTTCGCTCAGAGACACATATGTGTATTTTAAGATTAATATCAGTCATATGGGAATTAATAGTTTGGAACTGAATATACGAAGTTTTAGAAATATTTAAAGTAAGTAAATTTTCCCTGAGCCATCTAGCCACCTTCTGCAGTCCGCTTTCGGCAATATTTTGTATCTCGGTCCAGGTGTCCCCATAAAAAACTATAGCCGTATCATCGGCATAGGTAAACAACCTGCAACTAGTTAGGGACAAATTACATAGGTCGTTTATGTAAATAAGAAAAAGACTTGGACCAAGAATACTGCCCTGCGGAACTCCAAAAGTTACATTTGCGTCGGAACTAATATAATTATTAATCTTAACCCTTTGCACCCGACCACTAAGGAAATCTTTAAAAATAAGCAGGGCTGAGTCTCTTATTCCAATTCGCTCCAATTTGTCCACAAGTATAGGTATTGAGACGGTATCAAATGCCTTGGCAAGATCGAGGAAGACACCAAGGCACTTTTTTTTCCTGTCAAGTTTTCCTGTGACAAACTCAATCAAGCTACCCACAGCGTCTTCTGTTGACATACCCATTCTGAAACCAAATTGTGAGCTGGACAGAATATTGTACCGATTTAAAAACTGTATTAACCTCACGTTAAGCATCTTTTCTAGGATTTTTGATAGTGCTGTAAGCACAGAAATCGGTCTGTAGTTTGCAACACAATCCCGTGCCCCACCCTTGTGAACAGGAGTAATGAGAGACCTTTTAAAGACTTTTGGAAAGCAGCCTTCCCTAAAACATGTTTGAAACAAGATAGTAAGCGGCGATACAATGACATGTCTTACCATTTTTAGAAATCGAGCTGGTATAGAGTCCCAACCAGTGGCACAATCATTTTTTGAGCTTAAGATGAGAGATTCCACCTCAGCCTCATCTGGTGGCATTAGTACGAAGGAGTTAGTCAAGCAATTAGATCTTGTACATTTGTAGTTATACTTACTTAGTTATACTTACACCCTGTAAGTTTTTCAGCTAGCTCTCTACCAACATTAGAAAAATAACTATTTATGTCCTCAACCGCATCCAATGCGTTACAATTCCTAATTAACTCATCGGCAGAAGATTTTTTACTTGAACTATCGGTGACATATTTTATTGCAGCCCAGGTTTCTTTATTTGATTTTGCACTTTTTAATAAGAATTTATCGTGTTCGCGCTTCAATTTTCTAAGTAATGGGCAACAAAAATTCCTGTACCTTTTATAGGTTATTTTAAGAATTTCATTTTGGGGGTCCCTTTTTAAATTAAGATGCAGTTTATCCCGGTGACGGATACAGCGAAGTAGGCCCGGAGTCATCCAGGGCTTAAGAGATTTTTTGCGCCTGGGTACACGGACTTTTTCAGTGTTAGCTTTAATAGCAGATGACAGAATTTCAACAAATCGAGTCGCAGCAGACTCGGCGTCTTGCTTGTTAGTCATAAAAGTAAAATCAGCCAATTCAACATATTTTATAGCTTCACTAAAATTTACTCTTTCAACAATGGAAGGGCACTGAGTATTAGTCCGTTTACTGTTAAGGGATAGATTTATTAGAATAGAGTCGTGATCAGTTACGGTGGAATTTATAACTATAACACTAGTTTGTAAAACAGTTTTAACCATTACATGATCGAGACAATTGCTTAATCGTGTTGGATATGTGTGGCCTGGCAGAAAACCCAATTCGCTGGTTAAATTTAAGTAAGAGTTACTGTTTCTGTCACCGTTTCCAGGTTTTATATCGATATTTATATCACCTATTAAAAATATATTCTTAGATGATATAGATTTAACAATATCATTCAAAGCATTCAAAAAGCGCTCAGTGTAGTAAAAGGATGGTGATCTATAAATAGCTAAAAGTACAATATCTGGTACTATTTTAGCTAGCAGAAAGTTAGCATCTTTAGGATTAGGTTCTTCAATTTCGCAATTTATATTTTGTTTAGCATAAATTATAATACCGTCATTTTGATTTAAGCATTTTTTTGTGAAATAAGAATTATAATCCTTGAGACTGGGTATGGGTTTATTATCGTTTAACCAGCATTCAGTTAAAATTATTATATCTGGCTCAAAGTACAGACGAGCTATATGGGCCAAGAATGCATCAATATTTTTGTAAACGCTACGGATATTTTGTGTTATAATTTTTAGGGAGTTTCCTGATTTTTTTACTAAATCATTACAATTTTTTATATCACAACTGTAGGCAGTTGCCACTGTTATATTATCAATATCATTATTTATATTATCAATAAATCTAGCCATTTGTAAAATATTAAGCTTTTTGTCGCAGCTACTCGTGTCTGAGAAATGCTGACATTTTTACAAAGATAAGATCTCGATTTCAACATGATCACTAGACTAAGAATGTATAATTTTTTAGTTATGTAAAATACAATACAATGAACAGAGTATAAGTATGTATATAAAGAAAAACAATAATATAATATATAAAAAAATAAAATAATATCTATAAAAACAATACTTAAGTGCCGGATTTTCACAAACAGGAAAGTTATCGTAGGCCGGCGGACTTTCCTGGGGGCCTCAAAAAGTCATTGTTTTAGACGAAGTTTATTTAAATCACCCTCACTATCAATTCTAATATGCCGTTTACCTTCATCTTGTCTCAGGTAGGTTCTTCCAAATGAGGTCCAGCAGAATTTATATCCATTTTCCTGAGCAAATGCACGAGCCAGATAATTTAATCGTTTTCCGCAGGGTGATAGACATTCTGAAATAAAAAATGGCTTTGCTGGTCCTTCCAAACTTAAGTGTGCCGTGTTCAATTTGTTAGCAGAATTCAT